TTAAACAATGCAACCACGATGACAATTTCAATATTGTTGGATTTACCTTGTGATACACCCTGGGATGCCATTTCCAATGTTCATATTAATTACCTGAGTTGATGGTAGTTCAGGCACGCTGAAGCTTAAATTCCTTCAGAACAGGGTAACATCTTTTGATGCGATGTCTCGTGTGTATCTCGATTCCGATGTCTGAGGTGGATAGAGTTTATTTGTAACAGTCTTGAGTACTAAACTGCATTTAGACAATCGAGAAAAGACAGTTACGAGTGATTTCCACAGCTTTGCCCAAGATTGAGCAGGGCCTTCCTGTGCTTTTAAATTGATGGCCAATCAAGCACAACATTTACTCACTGTGGCGTATAGAATAATTTTATGACACAGGATCTGTCAAGAAATGTGTCTGAACATGCAGCTTCAGAATAATCTGGAAGTCTCCAACGAACCGTGCAGTTCTTCAGTCGATAGCTCAAGCTTTACCAGACAGTTGATCGTGTATACCTTCCGCAAGAATCTACTGGTCTTGTATGAGGATTTGTCGGTGCATTTCTCTCATCCACCTCGCCGTAGTCAACACCTTCAGTAACTACGGAGATATCTATCAGTGAGGATCAGTGAATGCTGAAGGCAGTTTAGGCCTTTCGTTTTTCTCTCGGAGTTCTCCCAGGATGGATAATGTTTATTGTAGGCGTAAAACGGCGACGTCAGCCACACGAGATGAAGACGGATTGGCCGCACATGATGCACTACGAGTTACTACGAAGCGGCCGGGTACACCTGAACAAACGCCGTAGGTTACTCACCATATCCCCACGAGTAAATATTAATTGAGAGAGCAGTGAAAGCACAAGTCTTCCCTTGATGTCCTCAGCACAGTCTTTCTTGATAATGATGCCTCACCGTTGCTTGGGTCCTAATATGCTTGTGAACGCATGGATCACGCGGCAGGCCGCGTATAAATAGCGAAACCACCTTTTATAGCAATGGCTAGTACCCGACGGTAATCACACAATATTCCTGATTATCAAAGTACGTGACATGAGCACATAACACACCGTGGTCATGCAATATTTAACCATGTTATTCCTTGCAGATGTTAGTCTTTGTTAGTTCTGCAGTCTTTGAATCTGTACATACAACACCAAGTTATTATAAAACTAAAATGTTCCTGATGTTCGATGTTCACTTAGGAAATTATGCACGAGTCTTATTATTGACTTTTCGTGCAGGTTAATTGAAATAAATTCACAACGGGTTTGTCTATTAACTGCATTGCACAACACTTGGTCTTGTTTGGAGAACGATGCTAGTACAATGTCCAATTTATCAAATGGGTCGAGCCTGACGTCGAAAGGGGCCATTATGCATCCATTTCCCGCGGCCATTTTACTTGTAAGTGTGGATCAATCTGCAAAGCCAACATGTAAAATGTACATTCGTGCCTTGCTCTTGACTAAATCACTAGTTTGAATAATTTTCAGTGTCATTTGTATTTACTTATAATGTATTTAAATATTAAAAACGATACCCCAAAAAAATTCCTTTATGATAAGTGTACTCGTCGTGTACAGGTTTGTTGGATATTAAAGACAAATATAAAGCGTGCGTGGTTAATTGTTGATTGCTGGTTGTCGATTGCTGGTTGTCGATTGGGCACATGGGTGACGAATACAATTTTCAAGAAGTTTCCGAATGTTGGTTACTAAACTTAATCCTACCAACAGGTTTTATCACGAAAATCTGACGCAACTGAAGTGACCATGAGTTTCACCAATGCACTTTTGTTTTTTATGACACGTAATTGATCTCGTACGGAAAGTAGAAATTACGCGCGGCCCGGGACAGGCAGCGGCCTCTCGTGCTTCGAATTGGTTGCTACGCACGCGTCTTGGTTATGCCGCCTCCCATGTAGTTTGATTGGCTAATTCTCCTGCACACTCGTGCGTCACGCTGACCGCAGCACCCTATTGGTAGATGAAACTACAGTCGACTCCCGTAATAAGAGGTCCGGTGGACTTTCACAACACTGTCCTTATAGCCGAAACCTCGCTAAAACCGGAGCGCAGCCTTTCCCCATTCCTTTTGCACAAGTTACGGTACATGTGTGCGCGTGTTTTAATCGTGTAACGCACGTCCGAAGACATGAACAGATGGTCGTTTGTTGGTATGTACGTCTGTTATTAATGTATATTAAATATGTAACTGATGGTGATGAATAAATAAAATAAATAAAATACCTACATTGTTTAATATTTGAGGACCTGAATCCGAAGGAAAAGGCATCATCGCTGAGAAGAATCGGTGAGAAGAATCAGGCAGGTAGGTCACTCGCACAAATTGTGCCGAGTGACATTTTGCTTTCATTTCGCATTTGCTGGAATCGGGCAAGAGAGGGCGCCAATACATGTATTACTCGGGTTTTAGTGACTCCTGATCCTTAGATGGAACTTTACTTTTTGTTATTGATTTCTTGGAGCAATTGGGGTATTTTTGTTTCTTTTTAAATTGTAATTATTTCGGTGAACTATAGCGCCCATTCGTTCCAAGTGACATTTTCGCTCGTACCCCCCGCCCAGCAAACAGGACGCTGGGATACTCTGATGAATGCACGCTCTGAGTGGTTGGATTTTGCGTGACCAGTGACCTGCACGTCATAAAGGTCATGACTCTGCAAGGTTTGAAACGGCCGTTAAGACTGATTCATTACTCTTTTATTCCAGTTTAGAGATGTTTTTTCTTCGTTGAAAAGTGTAATAATGTAGGAAATTCTGTAAAACTTACATATGTTGTAAATTTACAATTCTCGTCACTCGCTCAGGTTCCGTTTCGAATCACGAACGGTCGGATTGCATTATGCAACGCTCAAAATTTTGTCCACATGGTCCGCAATGAAACAGAAATCACATCCGGTATAGAATGTGCGCAATTCTAAGGCAAGTTTTCGGATAGCATTTGCGCACATTGTCTAACTGCGGTCTTGAACAGCTGCAGCCAGATGCTTTATACATAGGTCATAGGCACTTCCTTCACAATATTCTGTGAAGCTCATCAGAGTATCCCAGCGTCCTGTTTGGAGGGCGGGGGGTACGAGCGAAAGTGACATTTTGCCTTGTTTTGCATTTGCTGGAATCGGGCAAGAGAGGGCGCTAATATTACTTCCGGGTTTAAGTGTCTCCATGTGTAATTGTACTTTGACTTTTTGCAGCAATTGGTGATTATTGTTTCTGGAGGGATTCTTTTAAGTTGTACATGTGATGAAAATTGGAGCGCAATCACAGAGGCGTAGCCAGGGACTGGACACCGTCTTCCTATGTGGGCGCTGTTTAAAGCCGACATCATGGTCAAGTCAGACAATAGTTGGCGCTATTTTTTTTTCCACGGGACGTTAACATAAAAAGCCACTCGCGAAAAATTGGTTTTCGTTGGGAAAAAAGTTGTATATTTGAAAAAAAAGGCAATTTCTGTTCAACCCGCTAACGTTACATATAGGACTGTGCTTTTCTCCGATTGCCAAACTTCCAGAGGGGGCGAGGGGGGGGGGGGCAACCGGATTGTTTTTACTGGGATGCTTGCGGCCCCTCCCCTCCGTCCTTCCTTCGTTCTGCGACCTTGCTTATAATTTCGTTGCATCCCGCAGCGGCGAAGAATGGGGTGCATGGGAGTGCCCTTCCAGCTAAAACATTCCTTTCCCCCCCCCGGAAATTTGGCAACCGGAGAAAAGCACAGTCCTTTAAGTCACCATGATTAGCGGGTTTGATATACAGTCGAACCCTGATAAGAAGAGCTCCGTTAATAGAAAATATATAGCAAGCAAATCTTTAGGTCCCAAGTCTTTCTTGTCCTTTGTTTTCCATTACTGTTAATACAAGGTATGTACATGTAACTGTTACAACAAAGTAATTCGTAAAGTCCCGAGGACCTTGTCATAAAGGTGTTTGACTGTAAAGTGTTTTTATATTCACGTTTTCTATTCATTTTTTAACGCAAAGCCTGTTTTTCGTGCTTGGCTGTTTTTTTAACGTCCCGTGAAAAGTGAATAGCGCCACCTCTTGTCTTACATTGACCATAATGTCAGTTTTGAACAGCGCCTCTGTGGGAAAATGGATCCCCCCCCCCCCCCCCCCCCCCCCCATGGGAAGATGGTGCCACTGCCCCAACATTCCCTCCCCCGCACATTTTGAATTTACGGAGGCCGTGTGTCCCGTGAAAAAAAAACCTGTCTACCTTTCGGCACGGATGAAACGCCCCCAATTTAACATTCAGCCCTCCCCCCCCCCCCCCCCTGAAAACACTGGCTGCGCCGCTGCCTCAGTGCATCGGCTGCGCAAGTATAGCCTGCGCCGTGGTGTGTCTTCCCATACTTTCTTAATTCTCTAAAAAAAAAATTGGAAGGAGTACATTACTAGAAGACGTCTTAGGCGGACAGGCCATCTCATGAGGCTGCCCGTGGAAACACCTGCCAAGCAATCGCTTCTAGAGGCAATCCGCAAGAACAAGCTGCCAAAAGGGGGACAACGAACCACGTGGCTGAAAAGAGTAAACAGGGACCTGAGAACCACGGGGGACAACATCAAAGATCGACACACCTGGCATCCGACAGGGAGCAGTGAAGGACACTTACAGAGTGCGCAATGTCAGTTTGTCAGATCTACTTGACGCAAGCGCCTAGATGGCATGTAAACCGTCTGATTTCTCAATGCATTGCGACTTTCGAGGTGGTTTCATTTTTTTTTTCACTGCCGAGTTAAACTATTAAAACAGCTGTCAGTTGTTTCTTCAATTATTCAAAAGCACTGACGTCATTTGGAAGGCTATGGTGTAGGACGACATTAAAATAACGTTGAAAAAAAGTACTGCAGGGGGTGGCGGTGCGTATATAAAAGTCCCTGCATACTTTCACGATTCGTGTTAAAAGCTACTGGATTTTTCGGCGCAAGACAGAACGAATGTTGACGTATTATACGTAAAGCCCCAGAATCTGAGTTAAACCATTACAGTTGTACATGTAATGTATCATCCAACAATTACTATAGTTAATTTTATTACCGAACAAGACATTTAGCAGTACATGTACATGTATATAGAAGTTGGTTTGATTTGATAATATTTGTTTCCCAGATACTGTAACACTTATAACATTCAAATTGCATAGACAGATATTTCAGTTTCGTTCCAGGATGTCGTAATAAGGTATACGCGTGAACTGAATATGAATTACCGAAGCGCGAAAATGAATGATCAAAGTGCATTTTCTTTTTCAATTCAGCGCCAATCTCAACGTGCGGAGACGAATTTCCCCGACACTTCAGAATGCTATATTCTTGAATTACTGCGACTGACCAAAATGTGAAATCTATTGGTGTAATTTAAAATCGAAATTAACAATGAAGTTCAACGACGTTCTGTAACGAAGTTAAAGTATCTTTTCAAAATGATACAAGCGTTAAAGTTATGGCGAATACAATACATCCATCCTCTATTCAAATATGGAATTTTAGTCAGAAATAGTATCTGGTACTCATGCGGTAAATCACGATATCAAATTAAAAACAAAATACCTATCGTACATTGTTAATGTTATGGAAAACTAAACTGTTCAAACTTTCACGGTATTAGATGGCTGTATACATGTGCCATTTCAGATTGGGCTACTGTGCAATTGGTAAAGTGGTAATACAGGCTTAAGACTATGTACATTGTATGCAATTATCACAAAAGCTTGATTAACATGTGAAGATTGTCTGTGCAGTTTGTCCTTACAAATTATCTTAGTAATTCTCGAGCCTGGCCGGGCCGAAATAGGCCGTTTTGCTGTTTCAGTTTTTAAACCTGACACGCTCCAGTGAGCAGTCGCAGCCAAAGACAAAAGCAAGTCCGTTTTAGACCCAGCCTTATACAACTGCACGTGTACGCCCTCAAGCGTCGAATTCAAGCCATTGCAAGCTCCTGCTTGGACTGCGTCACCTGGTTGGTGTACAGCGGCCTCTTTAAGGCACGCCAAACGGAAAGCGCAATCTTGACGAGGAACAAAGCGGCAGCCAGACAGATGAGTACCAGAGAAAAGATGGAGTTGCGCTTCCCAGCAGTGTAGTTCTTCGCAAGGCTTCCAGTCAAAGCGAAGATGACCACCATCCAGACCGTGTAGGTATAGCGGAGGTACTTGTCAAAGAAGATGTTCTCTAAGGCGAAGTAGACCAGGACCTCTACGAGGAGGACCGAGAGGCTTACGGTGCTTGCATCCGACTGGTCCATGCCGCCCCAGTAGCTCAGGACTATGGCGAAGTTGAGAAGGGTGGCAATGGTCACCCAGGTCGCGTACAGGGCCATTCCGTTCTGGATGATGATGCGCACTGCATATAGGTCGATCCTGGAAATCAAAGGAGAAACAACGTACATCCATGATCAATTTGCATACTCTTTCTGAATACGAAAGGATTCGGAGACTACGGGTTTCCTCCCAAAATACTACACCTAACACAATTAGGGCTAAAACTGATCGCCACCAAAAGATGGCCCCAATTGCTTCGATATTGCAGGTATAGCACTGATGTTGAAAAGGTCTAGCGAGGGAACATTTACAAAAGGTCTTAAAGTAAAAGTTCAAATATTTTGCATTTTGTTGTTAACCCCACCCCACTCACCCACCCACCAAGAGGCCCTTCATGTGGGGACTTAACACACTGCAGTAAGATTGGTTGTGGCAAATCAATTACAAATCAATCGCTAGTCACATTTTAAATCCAATCAAAAGTCAGATCATTAGGAATACAATCATGAATGCCTTTGTCATGTCAAATCGAACAACTCTCAACTTGACAAGGAACTTGATAACTTGTGATTGACTCATGGTGGCGTATTATGTTAACCAGCTATACACATTGTAGTCACCTGTGGTTATTTTTCATGTTGTTGCCAGATTTGTACACCAGTCGATGGTTGATAATCAGCGCCAAGAACAGCGTGAATGGCAGCAGTGCTATCACAACCAGAGCCACCGGCATCAACTGGCGATCCCAGAGGAACAACCAAGACATATTCAGAGCCAAGTTGATGGAGTACAGCCCCAGCATCAGGGAGTTCATGACTGGAGGTTCGCGGTAGACAGGGCCTTGGTCGTTACGTCGGCAAAGGGAGATGAGAAGGTACAGGATGAAGAGAACTTGGAAGGTGTAGATAATGCCCCAGATCGAGAAGGTCCAACCGGCCGGTGTGATCTCCAGGTAGTAGTAATCAGAGATGTCTCCAGTGCCGTTAAGGAACCAACCTGAGTTATAATGGTAATACAATAATAATGACGATTTCTGTGTCGCCAAATCCATTTAAAAAATAAATACTCACAATCAAACAATTTATATAAATAAAAGGAATACATGTACAATGTAAAGAGTTAATGAAAACAGATTAAAGAGTGAGAATTAGGTGTTTCACGGTAATATGCGCTATCTTACTCCGGGGAAATTTTACACGCGTTGCTGTGTACCCATCGTCTAAGGGAAACTTTTGCAATTCCAAGTTATCATTGCGTTCATTCCAAAATGCACCCACGTCTAGCAACGCGTGAACAAGATGGCGCATATTACCGTGAAACTGCTTTGTATGCATAAGATGAAATATTGCGTCGGGGTGGTGTAAATCAAATTAGGTTTTGCCCTTCATGTAGGTGCTACATTGTACTTTGTTAGCTTTTCAAACCAAAACAGACATGTTGTATGATTAAATTTTGTGAACCTTTAGCTTGGCCTAGCACATGGAGAAAACATCGCTGATATTTACCTGTCAAGGAAATATATATCTTATCATAAACAACAAGTTTTAGTAGAAGTGGCGGTTCCCCCTTCCATATTTCCAATATCAATCAAATGTATGAATTTGACCGACACAAGCATCCATCTTTCGGTCAGGCTGACAAAACTTACCAATTTCTATGCCGATACTTCCGGAGAGGAAGTTTAAGAACAGTGTTCCGATCAACATGACCGTGACAAGCACCGACATGCAGATGAACAGCACATCGTGGGTTCTAGTTTTCTCTCCGTCCATTTTGCTGTCAGCTGAAAGTAACGGCGACTCTTCAGAGTAAACCTCTTCTTTGTCTGGTTTCATTAACCTTCGCAAAAACAATGGAACATAACACGGTTGTTAACATTCGACACGCGTGGAAACTGCAGTCGTAAATTCTGATTGGTCAAATTATGCAGCAACAACGACACGCCAATTAATCGAACAACGCGTTTGAACGTACGCGCAGAAACAACAATTGTTTTAAACTTCGCGCGTTTAAAGTTGGTGTACACGTGCTTTAAAGGAACATGTATAGTCCATCATTTGTAATTTCGGCATTTTGTTCGTTTGAAGCAACAAAAGTGCTCAAAATCTAAAAAAAGGAAGCTGAACAACTGACCTGATGAAATTTCAGCTCAGCTTCAGCTGTATATTTCGAGAAAAACAGCATTCTAGGATCTCAATTTCAAATCAAAAGTTGCTGAATCATGTTTTGAATATGGGCGATTCCCAATAGTGCGCCTCCAAGAGTTTGCAACGCGTTGGCCAATCACAATGCGCAAAATCTGTCGACCCAATGCGCGTTTGGAAAAGGTCGACTGATTTCGCGCATTGTGATTGGCCAACGCGTTGCAAACTCTTGGAGGCGCACTATTGGGAATCGCCCGTATTGGGCCTGAATTCAGCGTCCGAGATACGTTCTCAATGAGCCCACTGCAGCTACGCGATGTCGCGCACTGATCCGACGAATTATAGCAACTGCGCGCGCATGTGCGTCGTGTCAACGCTTGCGTGCGCTTCGCCGAATAAAATAACGAACTACTAACGGAAATTTCCAACGGTGCTTCTTTAGACGCACCGTTGGAAAGGCCTCATTTCGTTGATTTCTTCAGAATGACAGCTTGCCAGAAAGAATAATTTCACAGGGAGTTTAGCCCCATTACTATATTTTAACCAAGTATGTTTTTCAACAATCATTACGCCAGTTACTTTCTGGATAGCTGCAAATGATGGACTCTGGCTTTAAATAGATTTTTAATTTCAATTTATAATTATCCAGCATAAGGCCAAAAATAAAATAAGTCGGTCTCTGGTCAGCGCGCGCGTCGATTTTAATCATGCGCGTCGATCTTTTTTTTTTCCAAAATGTTCCGCGGTAGCTCCAACAGCGCCCTCTATTTCCGCACCTCCTCTTTTTTTTTTTTTTTACCAAAGAGCACCAAGGAATGGGAAATTGCAGCAAGGCAAATGATCGAAAGCACCAAGGCAAATTATGGAGGACACAAATGTACATGAGGACACCAAAAAAGCAAAATAGTACCCCATCTTGTCTGTACAATCCAAGCTTGAAGAAAAAAAAAGAAAAACTAGAAATGTGTTTGTGGACAAACACAAGCTGTTTTGGATATTCGAAATAATCTGTGCACGTGATGAACAATCAGTGATGTCACTAAAACTGTCATCTATAACAGCACATTATACGTACATGTCAAGTTATAACCAAATCGAACGTATAGGTCTGTAAATATAGGCCTATAAAGAACAAAATGCCCCTTTAAGGGACGTCACGTGACATTTGATGATGACATCACACGAATTTTCATCTATAACCCATCTCGGCATTGGTACGATCACGAATTTCTTCTAGGATTATCTGTGGGTGGTAGTCTAAGTGTGTACCAGGTCTAACGTCAATCGCATAATTTACAAAAGTGCCAAAGTAGAGTGTTTTAAAACGTGTACAAACCCTATGGGGAAAAATGCATCTTTAATGTGATGTGACCAAACACCTGATGACGTCACGATCACGAATTTCTTCTAGGACCATCTGTGGGTGGTTGTCTAAGTGTGTACCAAGTATAAAGTCGATCAAATTTACGAAAGTGCCAAAAAGTGAAGCGTTTTAAAACGTGTACAAAACCTATGGGGAAAATGTGCATCTTTAATGTGAAGTAACGTGACACCTGATGACGTCATGATCACGAATTTCTTCAAGGACCATTTGTGGGTGATGGTCTAAGTGTGTACCAAGTGTAACGTCGATCAGATTTACGAAAGTGCCGAAATGGAGCGTTTTAAAACATGTACAAACCCTATGGGGAAATAAGCATCTTTAATGTGACGTAACCTGACTCTTGATGATGTCACGATCACGAATTTCTTCTAGGACCATTTGTGGGTGGTAGTCTAATTATAAATTAAGTTTAAAGTCGATCGGATTTACGAAGATACCAAACTGGAGTGTTTTAAAACGTGTACAAAACATATGGGGAAAAATGCATCTTTAATGTAACGTAACCTGACACCTGATGACGTCACGATCACAAATTTCTTCTAGGACCATCTGTGGGTGGTGGTCTGAGTATGTACCAAGTCTGAAATCAATCGGATTTATAAAAGTGGCAAAGTGGACTGCCAGAAGAAACGTGTGTTAAACCTATGGGAAAAAGTCTGAAAAAGGAGAAAAAAAAACTAGAGATCTATGTCTGTTTGCAACAGAACATAGGGCTTTTCCGCATTATGATTTTTTTTAATCGATAATACGTCTCTGACTATGCATGAACATAAAGTCTGTCAAAGTTAGCCGAAAATCGGCTAAAACAGTCACTGTGGTCAGGATTTGAACTCAGTAACACGTGCCCTGCGGGCTTACTGACATACGATGTATGTGCGTATGTATGGTGGCCCTGAAGGGACATCGCATATTGCAAACGTGTGCGCATACGTATGCGATGTCGGGAAATTTATCGCAAATATGTGCGCGCACGTATGCAATGTCGTGAAACAATTCGCGAATATATGCGCACACGTATGCGTTGTTGAGAAATTTATCGCGAATATGTGCTCACACGTATGCGATGTCGCAAAATTTATCGCGAAAATATGTGCGCACACGTATGCGATGTCGTGAAACAATTCGCGAATATGTGCGCACACGTATGCGAATTTGTTTGCAATGTCGTGAATTTTGTTGCATACCTTGTCGCATACCTTTCAGTAAAATTCCTAATGAACTGGGGAGTTGTAGCAGCTAGTCTGGAATCTAGACGTACTGTTAGATATAAATAGGGTCTGACTAATAAACCTTCGCGCGCACGCTGTTCCTCGTGCAATCGTTACTACAAGTACTGTCGAGCACAAACTTGCTACTTGCGCAAGTTTGAAACTTGCGCGCGCAAATTTCAAAGTTGCGCAAGTAGCAAGTTTGCACCTCCTCAATTTTGTTTACCAAAGAGCACCAAGGAATGGGAAATTGTACCAAGGCAAATGATCGAAAGCACCAAGGCAAATAATGGAGGACACCAATGTACATGAGGACACCAAAAAAGCATAATAGTTCCCCACCTTGTCTGTACAATCCAAGCTTGAAGAAAAAAAAAAAAAAAAAAAAAAAAAAAGGGGCCGCGTGGCCGCGTCAATTCCGGAACTTTGGTCTGACCAGAGACCGAATATTTTTTTTTTTGGCCTAAGATATATCAGTTTTGTATAGGGAAAGACTTGTGGAGAAAGCTGTGTACAAAGTCTATGAGAAAAATTAATAATTCATAAATCCATAATAAATCACTTGATGACGTCACCATGACCTCACTCTTCGGGACACATCTTGGCTATAGGGACTATGCTTATGCCAACTTTCAATGATATCTGACAAAGATTAATGCCAAAAGTGCTATAATACGTCACTGTCTATGCGCATGCATGAACATAAAATCTGACAAAGTTAGCCGAAAATCGGCTAAAACGGTCACTGTGGACAGGATTTGACCTCAGCAACACGTGCGCTGCAGGCTGACTGACATACGATGTATGTGCCTATGTACATGTACAACGTACGTGCATGTACATGTACATTGTGGACGTCCTGTCCTGTGCATGTTTTGAAGCAGAGGTATTGTCAACGTGAAGTTTTAAGCGTGTGCAGGGTATGTTGGAGTTCGCTTATCGCCTCGAAACTTTAAAATGTTTTAGACCTACCCTTAAATCTACAATTAAAGTAAAAACTAATATAAAAACTGCCATGGTTGATTTTTCAGGAATTTTCTAAGGAAAAACGGTCTTTTCATTATAACTTCCGGTCTGATGACGTCATTCGCCTAAAACTTCGCACACGTCTTAAGGTGGTCAAGGTCATTATATACACCAATATTTAGGCAATTCCGACAAACTTCGCCACAGACATCTATTCAAAATACATTTTTGCTAATTTTCAACCTGTCGCTAGAGGGCGCTCGAAGATTGCATGACGTCATCGGTAGATGATTTGAAGAATACTATCAGCCAAGAGACAAACACCGTTAAAAGCAAGTTCATATCTATTACCACTTTTAAATAATAAGCCACTTCCGGTTTGGGCCTTTTTCGACCGGAAGCAAGGGTCACGTGATTGCACGCACACTAAATGAAATGAAGACCTCAACCTACTCTACCACTTGCCGGCAACAAAATGCTGCGGACGCGTACGGTTGATTTCTTATGCATTTTTAAATATTAAAAGTGTCACAATTTAATTGCCTATAAATAAACACAGGATGACGTCATCATGACGTCATCATTCCACAATGTTGTTTGAATTAGGGTCTTTGCTTGGACAAAGAGTGGTGTAAATGAATAACTGGCAAAGAGTCGAAAATGCCCTTTGAAAAGCGACAATTTTTTTTAAATTTCTGTGTACAAAGTCTATGGGAAAAATTAATTATTTAAAAATCCATAATAAATCACTTGATGACGTCACCATGACGTCACTCTTCGGGGCACATCTATGCTATAAGGACTAAGCCTATGCTGACTTTGAACGATGTATGACAAAGATGAATGGCAAAAGTGAGGGGCAGAAGAAACGTGTACAATGTCTATGGGATTTGCCGGGGAATAAAAAGAAGAAGAAGCAAGAAAAAAAATGAGAACAAAAAGAAAGGCTTTTCCGCAACTATGCGGAAAAGCCAAAAAAACTAGAGGTCTATGTCTGTTTGCAACAGAACATAGGGCTTTTCCGCATTATGTTTTTTTTAAATTAAGGTCATGTTTTTCTGTTTTGTGCAAAACTGTGTGCATTTACGTTTTGTTTAACAAACCTCATTCAAATGGAAATTTGATTTTGGCATATTG